TTTCAAATGTGCACACTCAACTAAAACCCTAGGACTTAAATGGGATCCAACGTCGGATTCATTCACATTTGACAACAAAATAAATTACACTACAAATGACAAATACACCAAGCGGATGATGCTATCCGATATGTCTAAGTTATTTGATCCACTTGGTTGGCTCGCACCTATTACAATCAAATTGAAGATTTTATTTCAGCAACTTTGGTCTACGGGAATAGCATGGGATGATGAGATTCCCGCGAACATAAAACAAGAGTGGAGTAAATTACGGAATGATTTAAGGAAGATAGAGAAGTTTGAAATACCTAGATGGATAGGAAATACAGAAAAATCTATCCAGCTGCATGGATTTTCTGACGCTTCGGAGAAGGCCATGGCTTGTGCGGTGTATACTAGGACAATGGATGACAAGGGTAAAATATTTCTGAGATTACTGGCTGCAAAAACAAAACTTGCACCAGTCAAAAAGCCCTTAACGCTCCCCCGTTTAGAGCTTTGCGCTGCAGTTTTATTGACAAAGTTATTAAACAAGATAAAAGTATCGTTGCCAGAAAATATGACAGTCGACGTTTGTGGATGGACAGATTCCATGGTAGTATTGGGATGGCTACAAGGTGATCCGTCGAGGTGGAAAACGTATGTCGCAAATCGTGTTCGGGAAATAATTAATATTCTACCTGCTTCTCGTTGGCGACATGTCAAATCGGAGGAAAATGCAGCAGATTGCGCTACCAGGGGATTACACCCATCGCAAGTATTATATAACCAACTGTGGTGGGAAGGACCGTCCTGGCTGAAGAATGAGAAAGAGATCTGTGCTGAAGTACCACCAATTGAGCCACCCAATATTGAAGTTAAAAATGCTAAATCAGTATGTACACTGCAATTAATTACGCCGTCTATTATAATTGAATTATTAAATAAATGTAGTAATTTGACACGAGGAGTGAGGATCATGTGTTGGATATCACGATTCATACAGCACACGCGACGTAACAATAATAAACCATGTGCGCACTTAAGTGCAAGTGAAATGAGATCAGCCTTACACAGCATAATTAAAGCTGTACAAGTCCAACACTTTAGCGAAGCTATAAATAGTATTCTAAAGGGTAAATCTATCTCCTCTAAAAGCACGCTGTTGACATTAAATCCGTTTTTAGATAAATTTGGAATTTTACGAGTTGGTGGGAGATTGCAACACTCTAAATTGACATATGACAGAAAACATCCCATTCTACTGCCAAACGATTCTCACTTAACTCAACTTATCATTGATGAAGCGCATAAAGCTACCCTACATGGCGGTGCTAACCTGACATTAGCCTATATTCGATATAATTATTGGATTATCTCGGGGACTAGAGCCGTGAAAAAGAGGATTCGCCAATGTATTCAATGCAGACGTCACAGTCCTCAAACTCCACATCAACTTATGGGTAATCTGCCAGAGCCTAGAGTGACACCCTCCCGCCCCTTTACGCACACCGGCGTGGACTTTACTGGTTTTGTGAATATAAAGGCGAATAAAGGGCGAGGTATTAAAACCATCAAAGGGTATATAGCCGTCTTCGTCTGCTTTGCAACGAAGGCTATACACATAGAATTAGTGACAGATTTGACCACTATGTCATTTTTGGCGGCCTTCAAACGAATGTGTGCACGTCGCGGAGTACCTAGACATGTATACTCTGACAATGGTACTAATTTCGTTGGTGCAGCAAAAATACTGAACAGGCAGCACAAGGAGGCTTTGAACGTCATCAACACCGATTTCTTAGAGGACATCAGTGGTATGGGAGTCACTTGGCATTTCAATGCGCCAGCATGGCCAAGTGCCGGTGGTCTTTGGGAGGCCGCTGTAAAAAGTGTTAAACACCACTTGAAACGCATTATAGGAGAACAACAGTTAACATTTGATGAATTCTACACGTTATTAGCGCAAATAGAAGCATGCGTCAACTCGAGGCCACTATATGCCCTGACAGAGAATGTAGAAGAGGAGGTTTTGACTCCGGGACACTTTTTAATAGGGGGTCCATTGTTATCGACGCCTCTAGAAAATCCGAAAGAACCTATCAACCCACATACGCGTTGGCAGCTAATGCAGAAAATGCACGTGTCATTTTGGGACAAATGGTCGAAAGAATATCTCCACCGCCTACAAACACGCTGTAAATGGTATCAAACCAAGCCAAACTTACAAATTAATGACATTGTCTTGATCAATGAAGACAACATGCCACCGTCTAAATGGGCAATGGGGAAGATAACAGAGGTACATGAAGGAAAAGATGGATGCGTTCGTGTAGTAACAATAAAAACAAAGAATGGATACCTAAACGACCTATTATCAAATTGACACCGTTACCGGTTTATTCGGATACGAGTAAGGCTATTACAAATGACACAGAACAGAAAAATGATATTAAACATGGGGGGAGGCCCAAACGTAACACAAGAAAACCAAAACAACTTAACTACTTGGTAGCTATCTTAACAATGTTCATGACATTGATAGTTCCTTCGCTGCAACACAGTTTTAATAACACCGTCTTTAATACAACCAACACTCTATATTTTGACAAAGTCGCTGACATGAGAGTTGTTCAAGATCAATGGAAAATGATAGTTTATTACAACATGACAAAATACTGGCAAAACATGGCTGACATCCAAAATTACATTATGCATTTGAAAAGCGTAGAAAAGGATGAATTAATGTTTCAACCGATTATATCGCAATTCGAGCATGAACTGAATGAAATAAATTATTACAATGAATTATTGCAGGCTAAAAGTCAGACACGGGTAAAGAGAGGCTTAATAAATGCTATAGGTAATGTTGCAAACTCATTATTTGGGGTTTTAGATGACAAATTTGCGGAAAAGTACGAAAGAGATATTATGTCGATCAAATATAATGAAGATCATTTACTAAAGATGATACGAAATCAGACCTCTATTTTGGAAACTGAAAACAACATCTTGAAACGTAATGAAGATATAATGAATAGTCACTTCCAGTACATTAACGAATATTTAAATAATATGACGTCGGCGATTAACAACGTGCGAATAGTAACAGATAATCAATTGCAAATTATAACAATGGCACTCTCAGTTAATGTCATTTTATCTAATTTAAGAAGAGTTCAAGACACTTTACTTGAGACCGTTACAAACATACATCATGGGCGACTTGACATGCATTTAATATCACCTGATGAACTGCAAAATCAACTCAATCTCATTGCTGGACGACTTCAAGGGGAATTAGTAATACCACACAATAAAAAGGGAATTATATCGTCTCATGCAAATGCGGGCAAAAGTGACAAAAGCCTTCCTAATTATAGAAATCAAAATTCCATTATTAAGTCAGAACCTATTCGAACTTAATAAAATAATCCCCCTGCCACGAAAAGTGAATGACAGCATCCTCTACAATATTCCCATTACTCCCTACATCGCAGTGAACATGAAAAAAGATATGGTTATACCCATGACTGAGACCGACCTACAAACATGCAAACGGTATCTAAACGAGATGTTAATATGCTACGAAAGTATTCCCATACTTAATGTCCACCTTGATAGGTCAATATGTGCAATAAGCCTGTACAATAATAATAATGACTCATTTTGTCGGACAGAGCTCAGACAATGTTCACACAACTGGATCAAGTTACAATCACCGGGCGCGTGGCTATACTCATGTTGCCGGGAGTGCAGAATTCGCATTTTATGCCCAGGTGGTCTTGATACAAAACAACTGCATGACAATGGTATAATTACTGTAGGTCAAGGATGTCTCATTAAAGGAGACACATTTACCATACAAGCCTACCATGATTATCACAACAAAATTTTCCTGCAACCGCTGATTGACATACCAACAACACAGCCTATATCGGCCTTGAATAATATCTTGAATTCTTCAGTTCTTCAAAATCCTATAGAAATGAGGACAGAAAATCACAATGAACTTTACAACTCTATAAAGCGGCAAATAGAAGAATTGAAACAACAAAACCTGCAAGGAATTGACGGTATGACTGGTACCTCGCATTATACAGTTATCTACTCAATTTTGGTTCCGCTGGTCCTATTTGTCATGGCATATGCTATATTGAGATTCGGAAGGAAGTGGTGGACAACAAGACCAATACGCACGCCGCAGCAGCAACATCTGGCAGCCCAGGGAGCTGGATCGTCAATGGTGACAATCAGTCGGAGTCAAGACAGTGTAGTGAGTGATACAGTGAATGAAAGTGGTGTGAGTGCGCGACACACCGCTAAGTCAATCTCTCGCGAAATTAGTGGTTCAAGACTCGGTGTACATAGGGCTACGTCCCCCACTATGAACAAGACAATTAAATTTGATAATTTACCTGAACCTTAATCGTAGTTGGCTTAATTTTTAACTAATCTACTTTTGTATTTTTTTATTTTGGCGGTATTTCGTTGTTGGCAATATGTACAAGCCATTTTCATTATATTTTTGTTTGTTTGCATTTTTAACTGTCGAGTGTTATTGCCACATCGGCCTAATTAATATGTACATTTTTACAAGCGCATGTTGGACAGTGCATTAAAAGCATTCAACCTGTATTGACGTATAATTTATTTGATAAACTCTCTCTAATTAATCTTCCCGTGACATTCTATTGACATTCCTCTTGTGTGAGCTATTGCAGGCTCGCACACGTACTTTAAACTTGTCAGTGTCAAAGTTGTCAACACCGAAACGAATGGATGGATTATTTACGTATCTGTAATGAAATATTTTTGTTGTCTTTATTGAAACTAGCCGTAATAGACATTTATGAAAGCATTTAATAATTACTGGCAGGGATAACTGTACGTTTGGTATTATATTTTGTATTGTCTGTAGACAATGTAATTATTTAAAATTAATGAATTTCATTTAACAATTTATTGTGTAATATAAGAATAAATTTTTACTTGCTTACAGTGTGAAAATTAATAAGAAGATGACGTCTTTTCAAGACAGGCAAAAAAGCCTGTTCAATACTTTGAAAGAGGCTGAAGACCAATACAGTTTTTCTAAAACAAATAAAGCTACTCACCAAGACTATGGTACTATTGACAAATACACTTATAAGAAGTTGAAACATGAAATGAAACCATTTAGAGGCAGGGAAAGTATATACAAAAAGCCTCAAGCAAATATTCGTGAGTGCCTCAGAGCTAAAACTATTCCTGACCACATTAAAAACCCACAGAAGTATAAATATTATTCCTTGGCCGATGTCACTCCAGAACAAATGTCAGACTCCACAAATACTGCAACAGCACTAGCTCTAATACGTGAGTTAGAAGAAAAAGAGGCAGCAACACAAAAACCAATGGAAACTGACCTAGATGATGGTGTTTTCAAAAAACCCACATTCTGTATTTCTTCTTCTATGAAAAAATCACCCAAACCAGAAGAACCAGAAAAACCAGTATTTAAAAGCAATAAAGTGGTAATGCCTGAGTATGTGGTAGGAGTCACTAAGAAAAAAGAAAAGAAAGTAAATTTACTGAAAAAGGAAAATTCTAATAATGCTGCGAGTTCAAGCACTAAAGTGGAATTGAAATTAGATCATCTTTTTGAAGATGATGAATGATTTGTCGGCTTAATATTATGTTAGTAATAACTATGGACTAAATTAGGTACTTACATTATTAAAGTAATAAAGTTTTTCATAACTATGGCTTGCTTTTGTTAAAATTATTGCAGTCAATGTAATTAAAATCCATTGAAAGCATGAACAGCTTGGTCCACCTACCTATCTTTAGAATTTCACATAATTATTTTCTTACCAAAATGCCAGTGCAACATGCCGCTTGGTGAAACTAGCAGACCTAAGGCCCAATTACCCCCCTCCCCCCCCCCCAATCCCTGATTCCCCAAAAATCCTCAGATCCCTAATCTCCAAATGGCCAGTATCGCACATGTAATGCCTCTGGTGTTCTGGGTGTCCATGGACAATGCCAATTGCTTACTATCAGGTGAATCGTCTGGTCGTTTACAGACTTATCCCATAAAAAAATCGTATTTCCACAATCAACTGGCAAAAATGTATAAATTTAATGGCAAATACTTTATGCATATGCATAACACTTTATGCACATAGCTGCATATTTGCAATGACTAAACTGACTGCTGTGCTATGTCTGACTGCATGTTATTATAATTTGATTAGTAATCCTTATATTGTTGCTTGCAAAAGCACACACATCACAGCAAAACTACAAGTGTGTTATTACTAGTAGTAGTAGTAACACACTTGTGTAGTAGTAGTAGGCTAGTAAACTAGTTACATTCAGGATAAATAAAATTCTCCATGTAAAATTAGTTAAATGCTTTATTTACATATGTATTAATCAGCACTGTGATATAATTGCAGATTCTGACTTAATTTCCAAATTTTCTGTCGGTTGAGGCTCCGTCTTGTTTTCTGCAGCAAAAGCGCTGAGATCACGCATCATGGAGTAGGCATCTTCACCATCAGCATAATATTTAGGCTCAATCTCGAGTATTTTAAAACCGAGACTGTTAGTGTACAAATTGAGTGCTGCTCTGTTGCTTTTCCTTACGTGCAGAGATACGTATTTAGCCTAAAATGACACAAAATTAAAATTATCATTTAGTAAAAAATAACAAAACAATTTCAATTTATTATTATAAAAGTATGATTTTTCATGACTATTTTGCAAACATAACTCAAACACAATATTATATTTTTTATTATTATTGTAATTACCTTAAAACACTCCACCATAGCAAGTGAAGCTTGGTTCATAAGTTTCTGTGCGAGTCCGAGACGTCGGTGTGACCTCTTCACAGCGAGGGAGGTAATATGACCATGACGGTTGTCCTCACCATCTTCTTCCATTTTGGCTAATACATAGCCTGAAAATTAAAAACAAAATAATTATTGTAAAACAATATTTAAATTTATTCTAGGACAGTTGTGAATTACACTCATAATTAACTCGTCGAGTATCGTCATTATAGACACAATTATAGAACAATATAGGCAATATAGGTTGCGGTCACCAGTGACCGCTTAGTGTTTGACAGTTTAATTTCCAATTTTTTTTTTGTACATTGGAACCTCCTGAAATACAAGACAAACAGTACCTAAACTTTGAAAGTTTCAAACACTTAACTCCTATGATAGCCCCACATTTGTTTTATTTCTACAATATTCAAATCAGTTTACAGAAAAACACCACTTTACAATTTAAATTGATGTGTCTAGAACTTACCAACAATGTGTCCCTTCTCATCCTCAGCAACGTAACTGAGTTGTGGCCATGACAAGCCATGGTAGAAGTAGTACTTCATCTGATAGTTCTCAGGCAGGCACAGCAGATTGCAGTGCTGCATATTCATCAAGTCACTAGGCCTCGCACATCGAATATTCATTTTGATCTGTGAAAACAAGCAGTAATTCCCTTATAATATATTTGTTTAGGACAATAACTTATGTCAGAATCACTTAGATAAAATACCACGCATATCAATGTTCTAATGAATGTGAAATAAACAACAACATAAAAGTAGTTACATTTTATTATTCCTTTCGAGTTTTCTTTGATTTAGTTGGCTGCCTGACCTCAGAAGCTGGTGGGCTATCTGACATGCCACCTAGCAGCTCACGCACAAATCGGAACTTCGATAAACAACACTTCCACACAATGTACCAGCCTGGAACAAAGAACAACAACAATGTCACTAATGACAACACTCATTAAATCCACCATTATCGTATTTGTACGATAATTAGTTAGTAACATATTGAAATCACAAGCATATTGGGCTACTTACAAAATAACACAAAGACAAAAACTAAAAATACGCTACATACGAAGGTTACAAGAGCTAATATCACTTCCTTCATATCTCACTAAGCATAGGTTAATACATAAACACGAGGTTAATACATCCACTTTACCAGAACAATCACTATCTCTTTATTTAAATTATCAGTCATAAGAAGAAGCGTGTCAGATTTTTAACGTGAGCTGTTTACTGCTCGTGATTTTCGAAGCGCCATTTTGGTTCCATAAAGCGCAGTAATAAAAATGTTCTTTGTATAATATTCTACCAGAAAACAAATAACGGTATAAAAGGCCTACAGATCAAATGCAATTATGGTACTAAAATTTTATTGTACATACTTTTAAATCTTAATTTTCTTCAAAACAATGTTTTTCTTCCGACATAACCTCTAAAATATGACATTAATAAATTCGTCTGAAAACTACTGAAAAGTGATTTTCGCTGCCACCGCTGCCATAGAGTAATTTTACTGTTAGAAGCATAGACAAAAAGGAACGAAATGTCATCGCGTAGCGGGAAAATATAATCTGTGGTTCGAACAATGAAAAAGTCAAGATGGCGGGAACTCGGAAATTATTGAGACGGTGTATTTGGTGTTGAGGGAATTTTATTCTATTTGAAAGTCAATTTGCCTATTCATGTGTTATTGTTGTTGTTTTTCTTTTCAATTAATAGTTATGGTTTAGCTAGTTCTGAATTTGTAATTTGATTTCGATGTTAACAATATATAAGGTGAATTCATGAATTGTAATGGTGGTACGCTTTATTTCTCCTGCCTCCTGAGTTTCTAAAATCCAATGTGGTATAAAACAAATAAGTTACTAATATCAAAGAGTAAGGTGAACTCTATGACAGTTTTTAAGTTTCCTAATATCAGAAGTGGGATACGATTATTTTCCATGCGTTCTGACTTTCTATGTAGATAATACTTACATGATACGGCAAATTGACTATTCAAAGTTTTTCATTTGTTTTATGTAAGTTTGTATTCATGTACTTAGTAGGTACGTTGTGATCGAGGTATTGTGGCAAATTGTGGTAACGTATAACTATGACTGAAACTTACGGTGAGTACGTTCCAATTCCCGTTTGAAAAGCTATAATGCTTTGGTGTATTTGTACGTGTAAGCTACAAACAAATAAAATTGTGAACTCAATGTTTAAACTATTCCTACTAATTTTCTTTTAAGTAAAAATCTTTAACAATCTCGAGTTCTGTCATTGTAATTTGTTATACCTACCTATGTCCTTTACTGTTACAAACAGTAAGGAGAGACAATGAATGTCACGTAGGTACTGAAGTGATTCTGCTAATATTCCTAGGCGATTCTGCTAACATGGCTTGTGTAAAGTTAAGTGAACTGAAACATTAAATTTTGATTTGTTTGACTGCATGGAGGAGTGATGCTGCCTATTGCTGGTGAGGAAACGTGAGCTCAACACCGGTGCGCCTGCCTGTGCTGACGTCGCTACAGCTACAGTTCATGACTGCGGCAGTAGCTGAGGGTCGATGGTTGGTGGTAGTAGGTGAATCGACTTCGCTTGGACTGCTATGCAAGCTTGGTTCACCGTGTTGTAGAAGCAATACATTCAATGAACAGGCTGGTGAGATCTAATCTTACTTTTATATTTAGTATTCATTATCTGCTATTTTGATCAACGATATAGACACCAGATCTGGTATGAAGCAGTAAAATACAAAAAATAAAGTTTGAATTATTGAAATGAAAATGAGTACCCGTTTTACAACGGCAACTGCTTAAAAGCTAAGTCCAAGGCTCAATGCATGGGTTGGGTTGCCGTTGGTTGTATTTAGAGTAATGTGAAGGATTAGTTTGTGAAACTTTTGTGCTTTTGAATACTTTGTATGAAGTCATAAGTACGAATACTGATCAATATCCAACGTATGAATGCTGAATATGCTTATCAATTACTGTTAAAAGTTACAGTTAAAGTCAATGGGTTGATGATAAGCATATTACAGCAGTAGTAATATTGAACCAAGTTTCAACTATAAATTGTTGGTGTCGTTAGTTACAAAGCAAAATACATCAACTGTTAACAAGTTAACTAATTATTAACAATGTTTGTGTTCTTATGTTATCAGGCATTACTTGTTATGTTTACACTTGAGAGAGGTCAATACATCAACAAACTTTTACTTAACTTAATGTATAAATGCATGTATGCGTGTGAAGTGGCATCTTGCAACTGAATTTTGAATCACAAATCTTTAGCCGATGGAGCTGAAATTTTTTATAAGTATGTGTTCAGGTTTAGCTGTAAATTCAGCTGAAGTTTTACATTTTTGCTTGACTTGAAATTATGTATATCAAAGTAATGTAATCCAAAGAATAAAGATTAAAATCAGAACAGGAGAACCGCTGATGTTAATGAAAAACATATTTCTCTTCTAATATGCACCATTCACCACAAGATAACAACTTGTGCAGAATTGTGAAAGATGCTACATGTTACTGCTTGAATCATGTCTTAGGTAGTTGTACAGGGAATTACTGTTGCTATAATGGTAGACAGCAGTATGTGTTTGTTTCTCCTTAGCAGCGTTACCCTTGATAGAGTGTTGATGTGGTTGTTGTACTGTAGTGGAGGTAGGTTGCCAGTATGCACCTCACAGTTACAGCCATAATGAATTGTCCCTTCTGCACTTGTTTAGCAAATTGCTAAATACAGACTTAATTTGGTTTGTCTACCGCATGAGTAACCTCTTAGAAGGCCGAGAGTACTTTCTACTTCTTGGGAACAAACTGCTGTATAGATTCGTTTTCCTCCTAGAAATGTGACTAGACTCTGAAGAGTGTCAGGATACATCATTGTATGTTGAGAGATGGTGCCTAATTTGTTAATCGTTTTGTTGCTTAAAATTTCAAATATGTACACAACCCAGCTTTCAGTGTACTATTTCGAGTTTGTCACCTTGATATATTACTTGAGAGGTTTCATGCTGGATTTTATGAAAACTCTTCTTATTGTCAGCAACAACGATGTCCACGTATTGAACCGCTAGTGTTACTTGTGTTAGCTGACTGGCGATAAGTAATGTTTACTTGTAGGCATCGTTTTACATATTGACGACATCGTTTTACATATTGACACATATAGTTACATTTCTTTTTATATGCAATTTGACATTATTAGCATAATGTGATATTGTTTTTCATTTGAAAAATTTATATTTTTTTAAACTTGACATTTACCTCTATTTTTTACAATTGTTAGTGCTAGGACCGTGCGAGACTTTTCTTATTTCTTACTCATACTCTGACAGTTTGAGTATTTGTGCGACCCACGCAAATGTTCTTTAGGTTGGTATTGTTCGTCGAATCACTCAGCCTCATCTGTTAATTGAGCTGACTGTAAACCGACACATACGTACTGCTTTCAGAACGGGTCCGCTCAAACTGTTGTGGTTCTTTCCTCAAAAGGCCACTACAGAGAGAACTTGCACGGTTCTCACACATAATCTTTTTATACATATTTGTCTGGACTTTAAAAGAGACAGACCTCTGAGTTTGTTTCGGCATTTCTTCTCAGAGTAGTCAGTTAGGAAATGTCGACCTCATCGTTCGCTTGATAAAATTGACGTGTAAAAGTGCTGCCTTGTAGTCTATTTGCAGAAATAAATTCACTTGTTTCACATGTGAACCATGTTGATTGCGTGATAAAAAAAAAATTGAAGTAAGTTTTACCGATGATCAATAATCATGCTGATTCGGTGATAATGTATGTGCCTTATCAATGTGTATGATTACAGGATTCCATCAAAAGAATATTTAGGATGGACTAAAAGTCATAGTCAGGTGTGTCCGAGCGGATACAGAACGTCTGACAAGATCGAGTGTGGTGTGGTGTGTAGTGTGGTGAAGGCTACAGCGCTAAGTGTTACGACTGCTAATAGATGGTATAAGTACTCGTGTGGAAACGCGACACAGACTGTGGCGGAGTTTCTAGTGCTATGTGGATAGCTTCGGACTGTAGAAATGTGTCCTTCCCACACAATATGGTACGCTAACATTGTGTGATATCTGATGTGTATTGTGTGTGTAATGTGCGTGTGAATAATATGCTAACGTAGGTATTAATTATTACACATGTGTTAGAGACTCATGAATTCATGATATGCCAACGCCGTGCCTATGTCATGTAGTTGTTATAGCAGAGATAGCTAACGTCGTGCTTCCTCTCTGAGTATGTTTTATGATTGTGAACTATGCTAACGTCGTGCCTATGGTTCTCTATTGATTGTGTTTTTTTTCCTGTGTTCGTGACTCATGATACGCTAACGTCGTGCCTATGTCATGTAGTCGTTATAGCAGAGATAGCTAACGTAGTGCTTCTTCTCTGAGTATGTTTTATGATTGTGAACTATGCTAACGTCGTGCCTATGGTTCTCTATTGATTGTGTTTTTTTCCTGTGTTCGTGACTCATGATACGCTAACGTCGTGCCTATGTCATGTAGTCGTTATAGCAGAGATAGCTAACGTAGTGCTTCCTCTCTGAGTATTTTTATGATTGTGAACTATGCTAACGTCGTGCCTATGGTTCTCTATTGATTGTGTTTTTTTCCTGTGTTCGTGACTCATGATACGCTAACGTCGTGCCTATGTCATGTAGTCGTTATAGCAGAGATAGCTAACGTAGTGCTTCCTCTCTGAGTATGTTTTATGATTGTGAACTATGCTAACGCCGTGCCTATGTCATGTAGTCGTTATAGCAGAGATAGCTAACGTAGTGCTTCCTCTCTGAGTATGTTTTATGATTGTGAGCTACGCTAACGTCTTGCCTCTAGTTCACTATTGATTACTTTACTGTGTTGGTGACTTATGATATGCTAACGTTGTGCCTGTCATGTAGTTGTTATAGTAGAGATAGCTAACGTAGTGCTTCCTCTCTGCCTGTATTTTGAATTATTATGGATCAATGTGTACATGTAGTTGTTTGTGTCGGTAACCAACGACATCCCGATGCAATTTTTATAATTTCAGGTGCAGAAGGTATTGAACTCACACGTCACGTTTTTGGTAATTGATAAGATTAACGATTTAATATGGGTCGATGTGTCTTCGGAAAAACCGGTGTCCCGACCCAATCCTTATGTTCTCAAGTGATGATTATGTTGTTTCCATGGATCATGTGATACGGTAATATGATGCCTATCATGTGGTGCACATTAACCGAGATAGCTAATGTTGTGCCTCCTCTCTGGCTATTTTTTTTGAACCTGCGCTAACGAGTTAATATGGATCGATGTGACCGCCGGTAACCACCGTCGTCCCGATCCAATTCTTATGTTCTCAGATGCAAACAGTATAGAGTTCACAGCTGAACAAGCTGCCAGAAGCCGTGGTGATGTCCCTGCTACGGAGCGTGTGCTGTAAATATGCGACAGTGCGACACAGGAGCACGAGGACGTGCTCCAGTCAGGAGAGGCCGTGTTAGAAGCATAGACAAAAAGGAACGAAATGTCATCGCGTAGCGGGAAAATATAATCTGTGGTTCGAACAATGAAAAAGTCAAGATGGCGGGAACTCGGAAATTATTGAGACGGTGTATTTGGTGTTGAGGGAATTTTATTCTATTTGAAAGTCAATTTGCCTATTCATGTGTTATTGTTGTTGTTTTTCTTTTCAATTAATAGTTATGGTTTAGCTAGTTCTGAATTTGTAATTTGATTTCGATGTTAACAATATATAAGGTGAATTCATGAATTGTAATGGTGGTACGCTTTATTTCTCCTGCCTCCTGAGTTTCTAAAATCCAATGTGGTATAAAACAAATAAGTTACTAATATCAAAGAGTAAGGTGAACTCTATGACAGTTTTTAAGTTTCCTAATATTACTAAAAGGTTATCAATAGATAAAAAGCCGATAGTCCAAATACCTATAGTTGGCAAAAATGTAGTGGCAAATGGTGATGTTTGACATTTCGTTTTGTTATTGTAAATAATACATAATATCACGAGAAATTGAAATAGTATATTGTTATATTAAAAACAATATATAAATAAAAATGGATGAGGAGGGACAAAACGAAGCTGCGGTTCGGGCGCTTCTGTGAGTAAATCATAAAATAAAAGGCGGTAAAATTATTTTCATTAATGTTTTCTACCCTCTCAATAAATAACAAAAATTATTCAATGTTACAGCCGGCACAGAAGTCCTACATTTAACAAGGAAGAAGTGAAAGCGTTATTTAGTATTGTCGATAAATATAAGGCTATAATTTTTAACAAATCAACTACTGCTGTTGCTTGCCGTGCGAGAGAGGTGGCTTGGTTGAAAATAGCTAAAGAATTTAATAGACAAGGGATCTGTTATAAAAGGACGGCTGATTGTTTAAGAATAAAATGGGATAATATGAAGAAGAGGGCCAGAATGGCAATGTCGAAAAATTTAATGGACTTAGGGCAAAATGAGTTTGATGAGACGACCAGTCAAATGGTGGCCATGATGTGTGAGGTGGAGAACAACGCAGGTAATGTGGAAGACCCCGTGGAGTCTGGTGAAGACTTGAATGGTAAGTAATTAGTAGAATGCATGTTTAATTTAAATTTGATTTTTTTATTAACACTCCTAATTATTTGTGCAACAACAACCTTGTGTTATTTTGTGAAGCTGTAAGTTGACTATTTCTGATGTCATTACACATAACGCAACATGCATAGACCCAGTAACTATAAAAGTGCAGATACTCCCCACACTACATTCTTTTTATCTACCTTCAATTTATAATTATTTTAATTACAGTTTCAGAAAACGAAAATCAAAAAGAATCAAATGATGGACCTTGGAATGACAATGAAGACAAGGATTCTAATGATTCTTCAATTGGTTTGTAATTTATTTGTTTTTATGACTTCATTATCTGACTTGACCTAAACTGTTAAATTTAAAGCAAATTCATGAAGAATGTTTAGCCTAGACATAAAGACAAAACAAAACTTTGTTTTTTGCTTTGATACTGATTGTAGATTACAACCCAAATAATCTTTAAAACATATATTAAATGTACAATTTTGACTTTACTTCGATTTTATTATAATTATGTTGAGATATGAAGTCTTGGATTTAGTTTACGTTGGATAAAGTTTAAGTAAAATATAATGACAAAGTTTATCAAGCTGACATGATATGCGTGTCTTACTCTTATATAACTTAAAAATGTTTTTTGTTTACAGATGGTGGTAATGAAAGGTAAATATATGATTATTAATTTCATCTTATATCTCTTTCTATATACTTATTTATCTTTCTTCTTTCTCAAATTAAAAATTAAAGTACCACTAAAAATTACGTGGACCAATGCTAACCAAGGCACAACTTAATGTGACATAATGAAATTAACCAATATTGAATTTTGCTGTATCTTTGGATTGGTTAACTTATGGAGTTTCTTGCTCGTTCTTCTCCATAGAAATCTGTAACTATGTGTCTCCATAGAAGACTGTTGACTTTTCACTATTGTGGTAGAGATATAACAGAATGTACCTAAAAATGCAATCCTTTTCAAAAGCCCATTTTAAGCTTGACATCTTAGGTAACTGTTTCATGAGGGTACTCAACTGTGTAGTTCTTTAACCCTTAGAGCGCCACGTCAGTCTCCGGTGCCTGACGCTAGTGGAGGTTTGACTTTCACCATTTTAAACTTGGCAGTTAAAATATTAAATACTTATGAAAAAAAAATTATTACAGATTTGTAAGCCGATCAATAAACTTCTCACCGGAAGAATGTAATTTGCTACTGCAATGTGTGAGGCAGGAGAAGAACATTGTATTATCAAAGACAAACACAGCAGGTTTTAATAAAATGAGGAATCGGGCTTGGGAACGTGTAAGTAGACCATTTTGTTTTTAATCAATGTCCTATGTGCAGTATTTGTAAACTAAGCCTCATCAATTCCGTTGTGTGCGAAAGCAACAGCCTGAAGTGGTCCACTTATCGCAATTGTAGTGAATGAATAGGTTGCTTATGACAGCCATGCTTCATCATAGGCATCCTCTTCGCTTACCACCAGGCGAGATAGTGGCCAAATGTCGTCCCATCAAATATAAAATATATACCTATGTTTCTAAAATTTCAGAGATATGCAAAATTTATCTAAGTAGAATGTTTAAAAACCAGGAAAACTCAAAATAAGATTAAATACGAAGATTTTTTTCTGTTTCAGATATCAAGTTCATACAATAAACTGAGTCCTCAAAAGCGTTCCACAAAAGTGCTCAGAACCAAGTTTTCTAACATGAGGAAAATGGTTAAAAGTAATAATATCAAAGCCTATTTCAAGGAATTTGCAAAGAAAAGGCAGACGTTTGAAGAATCTGGTAGTGTAAGCATTTTATCTTTATTATTATATTATACGTTGTTTAACATCAAATTCCAGATCTGTAGTTTTTGAGATATCAGTTGCTGCGGTAGCACTGTAATTTTATAGCTGTCTTTTGAATGAACTCCAATTTTGATTATGAAAATTATGACTGTCTATACCTTAATCATTTTATTTTTATTGTATTTTTTTTCGTCATCGCTAGTTATGAGTTTCATGTAACCATAAGTCATATAACTATTGCACTGTGTTATCGGTTATTCACTCCCAAACTTCGAAAATCTCTTACTGTTCACGACTATCTACCATAAACCGTCTCGTTTTCATAGTTGTGCTTGCAGCCGATCAACCAACGATTCAACATAGTCAAATTATTACAATTAAATTGCAGAAAATAAAATCGGAGCCTATATATGAGTGTCGGAGCAGCCTGGATGCTGACAACGACAGTGACCTGGACGACCAGATGGAAGCTGACAATAAATCCACCACCAGTGATGCTGAAGTCAATACCACCCTAGATCCACTCAGCACTGTACTGAATACTGACCTAGGTTTAAGTAAGTAGTCTTTATGTATTAATAATTTTAAATGATTGCGAATAGGTACTAACTGTCTAGCAAGGTTTCTCAGATTTAATTGCCAGGTAGGGCCAATTCTTATAGAGATTTTTGATTTCGTTGACGTTCCAATAATAGAGTAATCGTAAGAACGGTTCGATTCTCGTGGTGCGTTATTAGGATATTCTATGTCGAAAACTCGCAGCTCGCAGTAATAGCTCAGAATATCCTTGAGATTTTTTGAACTAAAAGTGTGTGTTAAACACAGGAAACTGTACATTAATTCAAAAGTTAATGTAGAAAGTGTAAATTAATGCAAAAGTTAGAGTACAGAAAAGTGTACATTACTTCAAAAATTAATATACAGAAAAGTTTACATTAATTCAAAAGTCAATTTACAGAAAGTGTACTTTAATTCAAAAGTTAGTGTACAGTAAAGTGTACATTAATTCAAACATTAATGTACAGAAAAGGGTAGTAAAGTGTACATTAACTCAAACGTTTTTTTTGGCGGACGGACGGCGAGCAACCCATGCTCGCCGTACGTGCAGGAGTAGGAACGGGGTTGTGTTTAGTCAGTAAGAGTCTGACACTCCCTCCCGCCTCACCCAGGCGGGAGCAGTCATTCGATGATTTAAACCTCTTAAAAAAAATGTTGGACGTTACTGTAGTTAGCATTTTTGGCATGGGAACTGTGTCACATCCTCTTCATAAATTCAGTTTATTTACTGTGGTTGGATCACATCTTATGGTATTCTACGCTTTAATCGACGCACTGCTTGTGTTCGTCCAATAATGACTGTGCCAATAATGCCTGGTGTGTCGTTCTATTTCTTGTTTTACTGTTGGTATTCGTAGGTCTTGGTGTAACAGTTCATTGGGTACGAACCAGGAGACGTTGGTTATCGTGCGAAGTGATTTATTTTGGAACATCTGTATTATTTCTAAATTTGAGTGGGCCGCGGTACCCCACAGTTGTATTCCATACGTCCAGGTAGACTTCAATATAGCCTTGTACAAGAAAATCTTATTCTCTAAGGACAGTTGAGACTTGCGACCAATAAGCCAATATACCTTTCTTGTTTGGAGACCAAATTGATTTCTTTTATCAAAATATTCTACGTAATCTTTTTTAAATAATTTTCTTTTTCTTTATTTTACAGGTTCCATTAGCCAATTAGAAAATAAGGAAATAGTGAAGTTAAAAATAGATTTATTGAACTACAAACTAGAAACTGCCAAGGTAAGCCATTTAACTAACGAGATTTACCTTTATTTTAAAGAATATAAAGTGTATAATTAAAATATGTTTTTAATTTACAGTTGAAGAGAAAAAGGATAGAGGATTTAATGCAAGCGGATGCGGCTGAACGTGAGTCAAAAGCTAGAGAGAGTGCTTTGAAGTTAAGAGCAGCAAGGCTAGAAGCCGTTGCAGCAGAAATGAAGTTCCCTCCAAGCCATCCCGCCCTCTCATATACAGCCGAAGAAACAAGAGCACAACACTACCTACACCAGTACCACACCAGTTGAAAGTGTTACTAGTAAAAGTTTTTGTTAAAAACGCAAAAGCTTCCATCTACCCTGAATTTAAAATAATATTTCGATTAATATTATGTTGATCTGAATAATGAATAAACAAAATGTGTAAATATTATTCTCAAAAGCCATGAGGTTAATTTAATAAGACAATATTGAATTTCGAATAAAACATATGAGAGAATTTAAATGTGTTTTATTACAAAAGTATTTCTTTATGTACCTAAATACAGTGGCTTCACTCATGACTAAGACTATCTCTTCGAATTTGCCATTGTCATACAAACCTGTGTCTGACAGTTAGTATGTAGCTATGTTACTATGTTCTGTCCCCCATTTTATTCACAAGTGGCATTGTTTGACGGTTCATCCTTGTTTGGTCGAACAAAGTTTCGTCAAAAATCACTTCATCGAATTTTAGTTACTTACAATAGTCATTTCATAGAATTATTCCTTTGACCGAATAATTCTTTGTTAATTTTTATTTAGCATAATTATTTATTTGAACTAATTTCATTACACTGAATTTTCAAATGCACTAATTTTATTGAAACTAATTTTTTAATGTAAACAGCTATGGTATAAAAAGACTTGAAAACCAGTTAGTGATGGTTGATAATCTTATTCAACCAAAAACCTTCTGTGATAAACTAGCCAAGACTCGATGGAGCCGCTTGTTCATCTCTAAAAAGTAATGAAATCTAGACAAAATCGTACCAAGTCTAAGGTTACTTACTGCGATTTGTTTATTAATATAGTTAATGTTCTGTGACTTGGCCGTTAAAGGGTACAAGGGTGCAAAACCAGGTGTTAGACACCATTTCACCAATCTGTTGCCAGAACTGCTGTTTATTCAACTTTTTCCTAGTGGCAATTTTCCATCTTCAACCGGTAGCGGTCAGCGGTAGTCTGGTTGGACTCTTGTAGTTTCTAACCAGGGTCGCCAGGTACTATCTTCGATTATCCTATATTTTATAATTTTCCCTTTATGTGGCTATTAGAGCCTAACTTTGTACCGAATTTCAGCTCTCTGAGTTTATGGGAATTACAAGTTCTATTTTGATGATCATGAGTGAGTGAGTGTCATAAATGCGAAAGTTTGCTTTTGCATAACTTTCGAACCAAATGACTTGAAACATTGGAATTTAAATATGTAATTATAGCTTACGAGATTATAAAACATTTTGCGTTCTAGTCTTATCCAAAGGTTCAGGGGCCTGAAAATGCGGCGAAATGATTCCAGTAAAAGATGTACCTATGTAATGTAATGTATGTATGTATGTATGGTGGTAGTCGAGCAAACACGGCAGTGTTTGCTTCGTGCTCGAACTTAACGGGGACACAGCCGTGCCCCCAGATTTCTTCTTTTTAAGAATCATCATTATTGATATAAAATATATCAATGCGGTTCATTCAATACTGTTTTGACATTACTTTAAATTATAGGGTTATAAAATAACACACAAGTCGTAGATACGAAAATTTTGTATATTTTACTTGATTGCGTTTTACAAGATGATTAAATTATAATTCAATATTAAAATTATTAATATGCATTTGTACAATTTCATCTATACCTAACTAAACTACAACGTCTAAAATATATTACACATCGCTAATATACAACATGCTTTTTACATTGATATATCCCTACGTCTATCTACTAGAGTCATATGTATAAAGTACAAAACGTAGGTACGTACATACAGTAACGCTATTGCGGTAAGTAGGTAAGTAATGACAAGCCACAAGTATATAAAGGTGAGCTTTAACATAATTTATTATAATTGAGCTGTCGAGTCAGTCTGGCGGCTAACGAACATATTACCTTCAGACCTGACCTCCGCACGAATGTTACACATAATCATACTTTGTTAACTTTGAGCCATTTGCAAGGAACATTCAAACAATTGTTTAGTTGTAAATAGTAAAAGAATATTGTCACTGTTAAATTCATTTATGCGACGTATCCGACCCTCACTATTTCGGCTATCGCCACACGAGATAGGCAAAAGGCAGTTCTACATTTCTGGCCCAATTCAATTATCTCAATAGGTGTTGTTAACATGATCACAAATTGTAGCACATCCATTTATTACTTTAGGCGCACAACTGTGCTCGCATAATTACATCGTGAATCAGCAAGAAAGCGATGAAACATCGCAACAGCGTTTCATTTAGCACAAGCGTATGAACACATACGACATTATTATTCACTTGCATTCGGTGCATCATCATTTTCATAAGTTTTAAGTAGTACACTTGTAACTTGTATAAATTAAAACGTCTCGTTTAATTTCGGCAAATGCCTCACTTTACAATTTCACTAACTCGTTCTACGAATATGGTTCTGTTGCAAAATTGTATAAAACTGGACGGACAACTCAACTCACTACGGCAATATGAGCATCCAGCAACTTTTAACTCGCCCTGCTAGTCCTCGGCGAAACGCTTCACAAACAAAAAGTCCTAGTAGCAGCCTTCGATTTATCATAAACGTATAAATACTAACATTTAAATAGAATTTACTGCAATTTTCTCGTCAACGTTCCGGCAGTCTAGGTGGACAGGCTTCAGGCCCGTCTCAGCTTCTTTGGTTATGCTACTCATAGGGGGTGCCACGAGGGCGTCCACTCCACCCGAACTGCTTCGCGGCTTAGCGGACGCCAGGCCTAGCGTATCTAAAAGAAACGCCCCGCAGGCGAGGTACGAACAGAACCACGACCAGCGCAAGGTCTTCAGTCTCATCACCTCCCTGGGGGCGCGAGGATCGGGACTGACGGATAGCTTCCAGCCCGAAATGGTCCTCCTGCTTACCCGTAGTTACAGGTAAGATTATACGGCGTCGAGCCACACATACTGAGGTCACCTCCGAGGGTTTATATCTGCAGCGTGGGCGGCGAGGCCAGCGGCGTGAGTGGCGTGAGCGGCGTATGGGGCGCTGAGGGTGGCACGGGCGTAGCGGGGGAGTGCGAGGGCGCGGGCGAGTGCGGGGGCGGCGCGGGGGGGTCCGCCGCCCGCACCAGTACGCGCCGCAACTCGGCCGCGCGCGCTGCCAGCGCCCGCGCCGCCTCCGCCATGTCGGCCACTGCGCCCGCGCACGGGAACTGTTGCGCGGCTGCCTTGGTCTTGGCCACCGTCGCTGCCAGCGCATCCGACAATGCATCCGAACATCTCAGTGCTTGGGTCTTCAGTCCAGCGTGGCGGGCACTCCTGTAAACGAACCAAATGTTAGTTATAGCAAACAGCCAAAGAACATTTAATTCAAATCGAATGGGTCTCCAAAGGAAGTTAAATATTTCAAGCTAATGTAATTCTGTACCTGTGTACTGTGTCGCCGACGTGCACGATCCGATGCGCACTGAGCACGACGAACTTGCCGTGTGCTAGGAACACGTCGGGCGGCTGCCCCATGTCTATCGTGCGGAGGAAGGCCTCCACGGCGGTGGCGAGGTGCGCGCCGTAGGTGGCGGCCTGCGCGGCGTAGAACGCGGCCAACTGGCGGTCGTCCGCGGGCAGTCTGGTGGCGGCTGCCACTGCGCTCACCTACAAGGAATAATTAATTGTAAGCATACCTACTCCTCTTTATTTCAAACATGATTTCTAGTATTTTGTCATAGTATAAAGAACACAGTAGGTTATCTAAGGCTGCCCGCCGAGTTATTAGCCTACTCTTGCGTTGATCCCCAGGGTTGTCACTTTTAGTTAATATTTTCGAACAAGCAGCACTTGATCTAAATTTATGAAATGAAAAGCATATTATAATTGAATATTTTATCAATTTATAAATTTAGTAAAAATAAAAAGCTTATAAAAAGATTATTAATTTCTTAAAATAAAGTTTAGCTCTATACATAGTATTCAGAAAGTAAATTTTGGAATACATTTATATGGAAAAATGCGACACGGCCACGCTCTTAACAAATCAGATAAACTGTGAAATAAACAATACAATACCACATTTTCTTATAATATTTAAGTATAGTAGGTAATTACATTTCTGGTTGAGTAGGAACTATGAAGAATGATAAGAGTAAGAATAAGTAAGTAGGTATCTCATCATCAAGTACCTACAAATTATATTATGCTAGAAAAAGTGACTAGCTTACCTTTTCTGTTCAATAGGTAATCTGAACAGAGACAGTTCTGGAATCGATTAATTATTAAGACACCCAAACACACAGCAATACGTTCTTCTACGGTTATCAGACATTTTTTATTTCATTTAACAGTGCCGAAAAGTGATGCGCGCGCGAACCTCGTGCAGTGTTAGCCCTGCCTGGCGCACTGAGAAACGGGTCGAGATTTTGTTAAAGTGTGCGTGCGTCGACGCATAGATACTATGGCGCACACATATAAGCCGCGCGCGGAGCATTTGTATGAAGATAACCTACTTTGTTCTTTATACTATGATTTTGTTGTGTGCTATTAACTATACAAATTTCTGCATCCTTCAAAGCAAGTTTCTTCAAAATAATTGATGCTCACCTCGCCCGCATGGTCAGCATCTCGAACAAGCGCGTCGAAGGAAGCCCTAAGTTTGTCCGGCAGTGCAGCCCTGATCTCTGCGTTACGCCGGCCTACCGCCGAGCGAGACTCCAGTCTTACGTAGTCATACTCCTCCGTCCACTCATGTTCTGGTACAGGTATAGCTGGTGATCGCCTGCAAGAAATTATTCACGTTAGTAACAATTAAACTTTAACCAAGTAAAATTTAAACACAACCATTTTGGAAATAACAACATAACATAACATAACATCACGCCTTTTATCCCCGAAGGGGTAGGCAGAGGTGCACATTATGCCACTGTACAATGTAACACCCACGTTTCACTATTTATGTTATGAGTCCCATGTAATAGGGGGTGAGCCTATTGCCATATACCGGGCACAATTCCAGACTCCGAGATTCCAGATTCCAGATTCCTGAGAATTTTTTTTTTAAAAACCCAGTAATACTTTGCCCGACCCGGGAATCGAACCCGAGACCCCTTGCCCGGCAGTCGCACTTGCGACTACTCGGCCAACGAGGCAGTCCATTTTGGAAATAGTGTTTAGAAATGACGTTATTGTTGATATCTTACCTAAATAACAGCGATGCATTGCCGTTGATAAAGGAAGCTGCTCTTCTCACATCCTCAGTTAGGGACCGCGCACACGACACTAACTGGTCCAGTGCGTCTTCAGTCCCGTCCGTAGGCTCTCTGTCTCTCTCCAGTCTCTCGGGTGCCCAATCTCCTGCGTCCAGCGCGCTCGTCGCTTCGTGCGTTATGCGTTCTGCATCCTTCAACGCTTTCACTAAAGGACGTAGCTTTACTGCGATACCTGGAATATTGTGATGGTGGTTAGTTACCAAGACTAGTAAATATATGTTAATCGGGTGGCTGCAAGCCACCCGATTAACCTGCATGGGGCAGAAATTAATTAAAAAGTAGTTAATTAGTAATTACCTTTATCTTGTGCATCATGTGCATTGGCTAGCGTGGCATCTGCAAAGACTGCGAGGTCGTGCAGCGCGGCCCGCAGCCTCGCGCCCGCCACGCGCACGTCCAGCACGCGCGCCCGCAGCGCGCCGCGCCGCCGCCACCCCGGCGACACGTACGATAACAGGCGGGATACTGCAGCTGACGCCTCCTCCTGATAAGATGACGTTAAACTTTATTAAAACCTCATCATTTGAAGGAGACAGGAAACTTCAAGATCTTTAGGGGATTTGTCCTAGATAACTGCATAATTTAAAAGTCCTTCTCGCAGGTCGTTTTTGGATATGTGGCAAAAGGAATAACATTTTTGTGGCCAATTTTGAGGCGCCTACGCACCTCTCTTTTTGCTAAATAATTCTATAACCAACCTGTAGTCTGTCGAGAGCTTCAAGTGCAGCGTCACAGGGCAAAGGTAGTGCTCGTGATCGAGGAACATCATAAGTGCTCGAGGCTGAAGCAGCGGAATGTACAGAGCTCCCAGAGTTTGCTGAAGCACTGGAGGTAGCAGAGGCTAGGGAGCCGGTGCCACTACACGCGGAGTCTGCACTGGCCGGCCGGGGGGCGCGCGGCGCGTCGTACCAGTCTACTAGGGGTCTCGGGGAGTCGTACATGCCGATGCGTTGCACTGGCATAGGTGCACGAGGAACGTCATAGTGAGAGCATTCTTCGATCTGTTGGTTAAAAGAAGTTGGTTTAATTTTGGTATTATCCCAGAATTCCAGTTTAGAACTTTTATAGCTGAAAGTATCTTTTGATTTGAAGTGATGTCCTTAGAACTCACTTTTGTAAAAGCAGGTGACTGCTGCGTAGGCATGGGCTGGTGAGCTACGGGTGCAGGCGCCCGCGCCCGCCGCCGCTGCATCGCACCGCTCGCGTCGAATACTCCTGCTACTATCCTTAGTCTGTTGCCGGGACATATTCCCTAGAAATAACAGAAGAATGAATTAATGTTTATTTAAGAGCACAATTATTGCTTATTCACATTAATAGGGTATTTACTGAATTTTACTGGTTGTGGTCAATGAAGCAACAAGAAAACATGTAAACAAGATGACATAAACCGAGTGGCCTACGTGATGTTTACAACCCTCCTGAGATGAAGGCTTACACACGTGAGACTAGGAAGTTCAATATTCCCTGAATATGACGTCATTTTACCGCAAATGGTCTTCGAAAACAATATTATTGTAACCAACTTTGACCGTGACGCTGCCTTAGGTAGGTAACTGGCGACTTGAGATGCGTCACCAAAAGATAAAGTTCATGGAGGATAAATATGCAATTTGTACTATACTATAATACGTCTTTATTTTATGAATGGAAGTTATGATTACAAACACGTCAATAGTATTCCATATCTACACAGTAACGTAAATATTTACCGAGTATAATTTTGTGTAGGAAAACTCCGTTCCAGAGTCCTATCCATCTAAAAGGCTCAAGTAATAAGTAAGATATCTTATTTCAAGGGTCATTTCAATTCTAATAAAACTTTAAGACCTAAGACGGACGAGTGATCACTTTGACGATAAACGGCAAAGTTTTGGACAACAATTCAACTTTAGGGTCTAGGGCACATCTTGAGATTTTCTCAGAAGATAAATAGAAACAGTTGATGGATCACGTAAAGTGGAGGATAGGTACTGATGTTAACTGAGTTTTTAATTTTTTGGCATTCATCTCTCACATGCTGCTTATAGCAGGATAGCCAAGAGATAGCTAGGTTTTCGAAGTAGCGGACAGAGAATGGAGAACCCAAATTATAAAATCGTACTGATATTATAATCACAATAATCTGCATCATTATATAAAAGTATTTACAGAATTAATGTCTATCGCAATTTGGGTTAATCTGAACTTAAGATAAAATGAATAGGGCAGTTACCTGTCTCCCTCTAAGTGAGCACAGCCACCAGCCCTCGCTGCCTCCGGTGTTCTGCTCCAGCACGGTGAGCAGGTCGCCGCGACGGAAAGCCAGCTCGTCCGGCGACTCCGCTATGTTGTCGTACAACGCTCGCGCCATACACTGCAACAAACATACTTTCATAAGAAAACAGTTCTTAGAACTTAATTCATCAACTGATCCACTGCTGAATAGAGGAAATGGCCTCTTCTTAATAGAGGAAAGAATGAGGAGGCATTAATCGATATGCTCAGTTGCTTTCTCAACAAGGCAGTTTGGTAGTTATAGGGCTTAAAATTCGAATGTTCTCTTTGAGTAGAGGATCAGTTTGCAAATAGAAGATCATAATAATAAATATGGCCATCAGTCTTACGACGACGGCCAATCGGTCTTTTTCAAAATATAAAGCAAACCATCACAGCATCTTGACTTCTAACTGCGCAGTTTGCGGTATAAGCTAAGAAATATTACAGTTTAAGAGCAAAAAAATAAGCTTAACATCCTCAAGTTTTCCCATTTTCCGAGTAATCCTTACAAATTATAACTTCCAAGTTTATTTTTATGAAGTCTCTCTGAATAAACATTTTCCCTAATCCTGTTGTGCAGTTAAGATTAAAAGGATTTATTGTACCTACTTAACCAACCTCTTGTTTTGCCTTGGGTTTTGGAAGAGCAATTTTCGAGTAAGAAGACCTACGCACAGTAACGTAAACAGTAAATCGGTAAATTACTCATTTATTATTAAAAAACGTATTAATTACTATTTCTGGAATAATGGAAACGCTTAGTTGCGTCCTACAAAAATGTTTATTTTATGTCATTTACGCAGCTCTTTCTTCAGAATAATTACCTTAGTAATGAAGACTGTTTTAGTTGTCAGTTGTGACTAATTCTTACTACTTACGCTTTAACATTGAATCATCCCTTTCAAAGGTAAGTACTTAAGCTTTATTTAAACAATAAATAACTTCAAAGTTAAAAATAGATTGTTACCACTACCTAAAGGTACTACCTAACTATAGAAAATTGGTCAAACCATGAAATAATTTTTCGGTACGTCCATTGTTAGATATTTCAACAAGTCAATCAATTACACATTGGCGAAACAGCAGCAGCCAGTCCCCATAATTTTCACATTAGTATTGGGCTCCGCCCACGTTGTGTTTGGGCGCATATGTTGCGCTGGCGCAGGCCGCAGCTGCAGCGGAACGGGCGCGTCCTAAATCAGCCGATAATGACGGATCGCATTGTGCAACGAGAGATTGTGGGCGACGCGCGACGCGTGTTGAGGCAGGCCGTGTCCGCTTCCGATCTATGCAATCATTTATGCAACCGATAAGGGTGACTGACAAAAGGTTGGCGAACTTGTGTTTTGTTAATTAGGGTCTTTTTAATTCACCGTTTACAAAAGAGTTTTAGGGTAGAGTGTAGATAGACACGGTAGCCTGGCACGTTACTTAATTATATTTTAACGATATTCGAGATCATTTTATAAATTCGGTATTGGCTGGTAAAATTATTTCAAATCGATTCTTCCTATAACAATGTAGATAGACAAAGAGCCTTTAAAAAAAATTATTTACCGGATTCGTCCATATGGCAGTAATTTTCCTAACTTCAATGTATCTCCTGCACCGACACATGATTCCACAAAACAACACTATCACAATCAAACTACGAAACGAAACAAAACTGCTACTCTCAGTAGTGATGCACTCGTAATAAAATAACGTTATAATTAAACCAGAGACACAAGTATTCACTGCGATGAGTCCCGACGTAATGATTGAAATAATAACCATTGGAAATAAGTTAAATATAATACATTTGTATTGAATTTATTAGAAGTGGTTCGTGCGCATGAGTCACTCGGCTACGTCATGAATGCGTGCGAGTATCTAAATTATAAAATGAACTACAAAACTATAACATTATTTGGGTAAGGCCTAAGGTAGATACCGTGCCACTGTATGAAGTATGATTTAACCAATTTTTAGTTAATTAGTTGGATTGTATTAATTAAGAAAAATAGGAAGCCATTTAATGGAATTAATACAGGTACGTGACTGATGGTTAGCGGTCACACAATAGGTATTAGGTATGACATGTGATATAACAATTTATAAGTCCAGTCCATTCATATAAGGCCATGGGTAGGTATTATCTACCATGCCTAACTAAGGCAAAGCAGTGCGGATTATCATGTCATTTTGACTCACATATTAGGAAATATTAAAACAATTATGTATAATTAATGCTTATAAATTCAGCTTTTGTGGTAATAAATCAGACGATTTAATGACACAACACTGTTCATTATCTACTCGATTTTAAGTATTAGGTACCAACCTATATTATAAATAAATTTATGATTAATTAAGAACTTTGAAATACCCAAAAATCAGGGTCCTAAAGTTCCAACTGCGAAGTTTGTCAAATACAAGTAAAGAAGAAGGGGTTTGCAATGGTACCCTACATTACGCATTACCCACTATTTATGTCACATCAGTAATTAAATGAGCGATAAAACTACTGGCTAGACATGCTATGATGCTAATAATACATTTAATTAACAATAACATAATTTAAATGGCTCTGGGTACACTATAAAATATGAATAGCATATTAATTACGATTGTCTATCGCCGGCGACCATGAAGTAATTCGTGCTCAATTCTACACATCATGTAGAGGAGATATTCAATTTAGGCATTCTGTCTACAGCTAGAAATCAATGACATTAACTAATTTATTGATGCAGTCAACCGCAAAACTGAAATTTATTTCAGTCAGGCTTTTTCCGACAGGTTTCATAGAATCGTAATCAATTGTTAGCTAATAATTATAATTCTGTTTTTGTCTCTGTATTGGAGTGGAAAATCCGCAATTTCTATGTAAAAATTTACGGTGTTATTGTCATTAGGTAAAGGATTTAACTCGTCGAGTACCGGTTTTATAGACACAATTAAAGAACAATAGGTCGCGGTCACCGGTGACCGCTTGGTGTTTGACAGTTTAATGAAGTTATTATTTATTTAATTTATTTATTTAGTAATAACTGTATTTATAATTCTACACACACACACTTATTTTTACATGGTTCTTCATGACAGTAAAAATGATCAAAGAAAAAAAAAATGATCATCAATTTCCAACCTGATGTATTTTTTGCGATAGCAATACTTTACAAAGAGTTTAAGCACAAAACGTTGACTAATTATATAGAAGATAATAATTAGGTACCATTATAATTGACATCACAGTTAACACATCCAATCTATCAAGCTCAAATAACCGCAAATTAAGCACTTACTTGTGAATTATTATGTCAATATCATAGCATAAAAATCAAAATAGTGTCGAAACGCACATTGATAGAAATCAGCACTTTCTCCACACCTTTCTTTAATTACTGATTGCATTGATCCTTTAGATGGCTGAGGCTGTGACCGGATGTACTTACGTGAATCATGACGCTGATTCGCGGAATTGTGGACGGTATTGTGCGCAGGCGCCTATCGTAGGCACAGTTTGAGCACGTAACGTGTATGCCGTGTACCGAGGTCGATGAGGTCATTGGCTTGACCTTTTATTAGTTTTATGAATTCTATAATAACGGAGTATTCTCGAAATTGTTTATTTTCCTCTGTTCTGTCTAGACAACTATGACTTAAAAATGTATATTCGTGTTTTTATTAATTAGCTTTTAATTTAGCAGCCATACAAATCTCATGGTTCTTCTATCTTCTTCTTCGTTTTAGTAGTATTTATCTACGAGTTAATTATGAATTATGTCAATATAAAAATGTTAGTGTGATATACGGATTAGGTAATAGGTTTCTACTCGTTACGGGTCATCAACAGGTCAGGTCGACTTTGATTGATAAAATACCTATACCGGTTAGGAAAATTTGTTTATTCAAGAGGAAGGAAAAAATAATCATTATGTATTATTAATTAATAATTATGTATTACCTAATACAAACAAAATAAGTTATTCTTGAACAAGACTGACGTAAATCCCTAATACGAGTAGAATATAAATAAGTATACAAACAGCATATCGCACTACAACCGCTACATTATCCAAATAAACAATTTAAAGTACTGGGTCGTGTTATTATTGTTTACAACATACAAGTCAATCAATGAATTGGAATAAACCGAAACCAAGTCATCCTTAACAAAATGCAATTAATCCAAAGCTAATTTATCCAAATGATTCACTCTAGTATTCTATGAACATTTTCTACGAAAAGGTCACTTCGTCAGAAGTATAAAATAACTCCATTGGTAAATAGTAAATAGGTATATTATCTAAAATAATAAGTAAGTACGTACGTGATTTGAGGTTATCCAACATTCGGTGTGGAACGGGGGCGCAATGGCTTTGTAATTGTAGAATGTCACGGGGTTAACAAGTTGCTTACTACACAGCGATATGCACAGGACACGTGTCACAAATATTGCTAAATCAAGCGTATGGATGGTCCTCCCGCTCTAGTAGACCCCGTCATATGATAGTGGGTCGAAAATCAATGAAGACCGGCAGGGCACTGAATGGCGGGGCGCCGACCTAGGAAGGTCGCACTCCCGTAGTACGCGAAGGGTTAACACGCATGCGCGAATGTTTGCTAAAATCTACTGCTTTTTATGTTCCGGTTTAATTTATTTAAATAAAGTAGGTACATTTTATTGCGTATCTTTTCTATTTTTGTATCTCACGTGATTTCCATAGCTTATAATTATTCCTTGGCATAAAGATTAGCACATGAGATACAATAGTGCCATAGTAAAATTGCTTAGGTACCCAAAGTTAAAGTAGCTTACTCCAAAATTGGCCTTAACATAATATAAATTAGGTATGTGTGGTGTACACATACCTAATTTATATTATGTTAAGGCCAATTTTGGAGTAAGGCAGGTAAGTAGGTGTAGTCTATTCTATAACCATCGACTCACTATAGCACAAACCAAATTAATAAACAACAATATTGAATGGAATGTCAACAAAACATGTCCTTGAAATTGCAAAATAGCAACAAATTAAGGTGCAACTAGTATTTAATAATTTAAACGACTTAAAACACCTAGTCTGGTAACACTAGTGTGGCCCTGGTTGGCGTCTAGTATGCAAGGTATTATAGCGGTGTATGGCGCCGCGGGTATCGTCTAGACGCGTATTATT